ACGATCGTGTGCACCTGGTTCAAGCGGTCGACGTACTTGGCCGGGCCCTTGGACGAAAAGTACGCGAGCTGCGTCGGGTCGTCCGTGCGCGACCCAATCGCACCCACCGAGATGACGTTGGGGTAGCTAGCCGGGTTGCCGGCCGTCGCGCAGGCCGGGCCTTCGTTGCCGTTGGCAAAGATGGGCGTAATACCGGCCTTGTGCCACGCGTCAACGACGTCCTGGTACCACGGGTCGGTGCTCGAGTCACTGCCCCACGAGTTGTTGACAACGTTGGCGCCCTTCTTGCAGTCGGGGTGCGACCCGTCCGTGTCGGTTGGGCACATCATAAACTCAGCGCACTCGATCAAAGCCGCGTTCGTGCCGCTGCCCTTGTACAAGCCGAGGCACGAGATGAACTGGGCGCCGGGGGCAACACCGATACCGAAGTCACCGACCATCGTACCGATCGTGTGGGTACCGTGGCCGCTGAGATCGTTGGGCTCCGCCGTCTGGTAGTACGGATCGTACCAGCCCTTGGCCGCACGCCACTTGGACTTGATGGATTCGTGGGTATGGCGGACACCCGAGTCGATCGAGCCGATGATGACGCCTTCACCCTTGGTCGTCTTCCAGACGTCGGTGGCGCCAATCGTCGTGACGCCCCACTGGATGCCGGTCGGGCGCGAGTTGTCAGCGGGCGAGTTCTCGGCGCCGTCGTCCTTCTTGGTGAGGACCGGGCTTTCCTTGATCGTCTTGATCACGTCGACCTTGAGGACGTTGTCAATCTTGGCGATCTTATCGGCGAGCGCGCGGTCGACGTTCTCGACGGTCGCGGCCTTGGTGATCCAGAACGCCTTGACCTTGCGGTCGCCGACAATGCTGGAGAGCGTTTCCTTGTGCTCGACCGCAGCGGCCGAGAGCGCCGAGTAGACAACTTCGCGGCGCTCACCAATGGGCGTCGACTCGAGGCTCTCGAGGCCCGTCGTCGCGGTCGGCTTGAAGGTCACAAACGCCGTGAACGTCTGTTCCTGCTCGAGCTTGCGGAGCGCGGAGCTCGTGATCTTGGCCTGGGCCGCCGCAGCGAGGACCGACAAGATGAGGACAATCTTCATCGTTCGAGTACAACTGAAATTGTAAAATGAGCGGATCTCGGACGTGCGGAGCCGTCCACGACCATCTGTTGGGCCAGCTGGGTGCGTCAAACACGCGATCTGATTTCAATCAGAAAGGCAAACTGGTTTGGGTCCCTTCTCAATTTGAACATCAGATCGGTTCTTCAACGATGTGTGTTACACAGTTTTCGTCCCTTAGCATGTCGTAAGGTTTAGTGTACGACATCGTATGCGCACATCTAGTACAAACTGCGACCCAACCCATGTTTCGTACGTAATGCGCCTATTCCATCCACTCCTGAGACTCATTCCGCAGCGTGTAATCAAATCCTCTAAAGCACTTCTCAAAGGCAAAGTGCAAACTCGCCGTTCGTAGAGGCAAGATATGACCAATGATGTCTTATCCATCGCGCGCTTCTTATCACACCCGTGCATCTTAGAATGAGAAGGGTGCTTCTCAGATGACGCTGATAGGTGCACCGACGACGCACCATTTACTGTCTGATCCGCAATTGGTTGTCAAAAGCAAGCGATGCTGGGTACATATGAGTGTTTCGTGTCGCTTCGTCGTTCGCACGAGCGCAACAAGACGGGGTGAAGACGGGGTATCTATATTGCGTGTACCCCTCTTTCTTTGCACGACGCTTGGCACGACCGGCCTACGACAGCGGATGCGTGTCCTCCCTGAGGTCGAACTGTCGAATTGAAATCGAGGGTTACAACGGCGCTGATCATCCTGATCCGTGTCTCGTCTGCGACCGGCTTGTACTTGTCTGCGCTGACAAGCTCCGCTATGATTACAGCAGACATTCGCTCGCGACTACCTGTACTAACGGCAGTGCATCGAATCAGTGCGGCGGTATAATCGCGTGCAAGCTCCATCTTGTCAAGCACAGAGACGCGCGCCTCTCTGAGCACGCATTGACGTGCGCCTGACCCAAAAGCGCATCGATGAGTCGTCTCACAGGCGTATTGCGCGACGTATTCTCGCCGGCATGATCGACGAAGGTACTAGACCAGTGGTATGTGGCTTGCAGTTTGAACTGCGCACGACTCTACCGACCTCGTGACGTTAAATCCAATATGGGGTTTTCTTGCGCATATTCGTGTACACTGTGCCGACAACTTCAGGTTTTCAAGTGGATACACTACGAAAACAAGCGGCCGTGCCTTCTCTGAAATGTCGTCCCAAAGTCCCACTCTCTCCATCTGTCTTGTTTCTGAGTTGCTACCTCCATCTGTTTAAAAAGGACGCCATACGTCGTTCGTCACGCCCAGTGCCCTCGCGGCAAGCATTGCCTCATTTTACAATTTCCATTGTACGACTTCATCCAACACAAGCATGAAGGCCTTCCTCATCCTTGCGACGGCTGCGGCCACGGTCTCGGCCAAGGTCGCTAGCTCGGTCCTCCGCCAGCTCGAAGTCAACGGCAAGTCGGATGTCTTTGTGCGCTTTGCCGACCCGTCCGCGGCCCTCGAAGCCGCGACGCTCGAGAACAAGCCGCTTGAGCGCCAAGAGGTCTTTGAGATCCTCTCGGATGTCACGACCACAGGCCACAAGAGCATCGAAGCCCTCACGGCCGGCTACAAGGTCACGCCCACGTGGCTCGTCACGGGCGCGTTCATTGACGGCGCCGACAAAGACCTCATCGCCAAGCTCTCGCAAAGCAAGGCGATCAAGTCGGTCGAGCACCTCCCGGACATTGAGCTCGAACCGCTTTTGACCAAGGAGGTTGACGCGCCGGCGGCCAACATCACCAACCAGTGGGGTGTCAACACGGTCGGCGCCCCGGACGTGTGGAAGAACTTCAACGGCAAGGGCGTGGTCATTGGCTCCATCGACACGGGTGCGCGCCACACGCACAACTTGATCAAGGACTCGTGGCGCGCCGACCGTGGCTGGTACGACCCGTACAACCAGACCGCACTCCCGGAAGATCTCGGTGGCCACGGTACGCACACCATCGGTACGATGACCGGCAAGGACGGCTATGGTGTCGCGCCGGGTGCGCAGTGGATCTCGTGCCGCGGCTTGTACATCAAGAGCGGCTCGTCGCAGGCGCTCATCCAGTGCTTTCAGTTTATGATGTGCCCGACGCGCACGGACGGCACGCACCCCGACTGCTCCAAGGGCGCCCACGTCATCAACAACTCGTGGGGCAGCGCCAAGTTCAACCCTGTCTACGAAGAAGCGGTCGCCGCCCTCCGCAAGGCTGGCATCACGCCCATCTTCTCCAACGGCAACAGCGGCCCGGCCTGCGGCACGACCGGTAACCCCGGCACGTACCCCAACGTCATCTCGGTCGGTGCGATTGGCTCGTACGACGACGAGCCGACGAAGCTTGCGTACTTCTCGTCCAAGGGCCCTGGCACGTACATTGATGCGCACAACGTCCAGCAGACGGTCGTCAAGCCGACGATCTCGGCGCCCGGCTTCTTTACGCTCTCGGCCTACAACACGGGCGACTCGGCGGTCAAGTACCTCGCCGGTACGTCGATGGCGGCGCCGCATGTCGCCGGTGTCGTCGCACTCCTCAAGTCGGCCAAGATCGACTTGACGTACGAAGAAATCTACGCCTACTTGACGCAGACCGCCGACCAAAAGATGCTCGAGGGCGAGCCCAAGGAGTGGGTCGTGCCCAACAACAAGAACGGCACCGACATCTACCCGGGTGCGCCCAACTGCGGCGGCGTCGACGACACCAAGTGGCCCAACAACCGTTATGGTTACGGCCGTGTCAACGTGGCCAACATCCTCAAGGATGGCAAGTTTGTCTCGATCACGACGCCCGCGCCGACGACCAAGGCGCCGGCCCCCGAGCCCGTGAGCGCCAAGTTGTGCACGTACAAGAAGACGGTGCTCTCCGAGTGGAACAGCCAGCTCTTCGTCGACACGATCAAGAACAACAAGAACGAGGGCTTCGTCATCGACCTCAAGAACAACATCATCCAGTCGGCGAGCTCGGAAGATGGCTGCTTGTCGCTCATCAAGGACGCCACCAACACCAACTCGGTCGCGCTTGCCAAGTGCACCGGTGACGCCACGCAGATCTGGAAGTTTGACACGGTCGCCAAGCGCATCGTCCATCCCCAGTCCGGCTTTTGCTTGACCTCCAACGCCGCCAAGCTCGGTGCCGGCCCCAGCGTCGCCCCGTGCTCGCCCAGCGCCGTGAGCCAGTACTTTGACCAGTGCGACAACGTCAAGGAGAAGAGCTACGTCAAGCTCATCACCAAGAACAACAAGGTCATCTCCGAGTTTTACTCGGGCGTCTACGCCGACTGGGTCTCGGACTCGGTCAACGAGCTCTTCACGTACGACAACAATGCCAAGACGCTCCAGGTCGCCAGCAACGGCGAGTGCCTTGACGCTTTCCGCGACGGTGACAAGTTTGGTCTCCACACGTACGCGTGCGACGCTACCAACGGCAACCAGAAGTGGATCATCGATGCCGGCAACCACAAGATCAAGCACGCGACGCACAACAACTTGTGCTTGGACGTGGACCCGACCAACCCGACGCACGCGGCGCAGGTGTGGGAGTGCCACGACTGGAACACCAACCAGTGGATCGATGCCGTCCAGTACTAAGCAGCCGTTGCTATTCTTTAGCATCTTTGAGTTTATACTGGTATTGTATCAAGTAATACACCCTTTTTGATTCCATACATGAATCGCATTGTCGCACCGTATTTGGACGACAGGAAACTGTGACCGTGCAGTCCTGGGCTATTATGGAAGAGTTCGACACGCACCTGTGCACGCGCTAGATATGCTTGGTGGGAGCAACGATGTCTTCGATGGTTTTGCTCTGGGTGCAACGAAAATATCGGTGGCTGGCCGCAGAGGTGGGCGAGTGAAGCCCTGAGCTGGGCGAGGGAAGCCGAGGTAAAAACCATATAGAAATGAAGGAGACTTGTGTGAAGTGTAAACTCGTCCACTGGCACTGGGAAAGGACAAGACGTCATCCTCGTGAGGTGCCATCGCCATCGAGGGCTGGTGATAACAGCCACTGGAGTCCTCATGTCGGTTGGTTCCAACGCCTGAAACCAAAAAAACCATCTTTGACGAACGTGTGGCGTCACGATCTTCGTGTGTCCTGGTCTCTGCCGCATGTGGTAGCGGTCGGGTGGAGCCCACTAGACTATGCAACTCGACCAGAGGCCAGCATTTTCAGTTTGTTGATTCGCCCGAGCGCCGCCCTCGCACGATGGCGACACCGATCTCGCCGAACGAGCTTGGCTCTATTTTTCAGCTTCTATTTTATTATCCGGCAAATCCGGATATGCCACAATCGAACGGCATGCAGTTGGACTCGTTCGTTTTGCATCGCGCCGACGATAATGGCCTCGCCTGTGCTACGGTCGTCTGACCTTGTCGCCGCTGTGACCGCGTACCAAGATGGTCTGCCCAAAGCTCTCATGGATGTCCAGCGCCTCGCCGACGCCGTCGAGCTCACGCCTTGTTTGATGTCGTTCCTTGTTGACGCGACAGCGTACCTCGCCAACGTCCCGGCGCGGTTCGCATCATTGCCCTACCTTCAGCGGTACCCGCACCCAAGCACCAAGCTGCCGCACCACGCGCTCTTTGTGTCGCCGTGCATGTACGACCGGGCGCTCGGTCTCCATTGTCTCGTCGTCGAAGGCAACGTGGCGCTTGTCATGCGCTGGCTGCGCTTCGATCCCTCGCTGTGCACGTCGGCCACGCTCGAGCTGGCCGCGGCCGCGTCCCAAGGTCCGTTGTTGCGTCTGCTCTTCACGCAGTTTCCGACGCTGGCCACGCCCAAGATGATGGACCTCGTGGCCATGTCGGGCGATGGTCCACTGCTTACGTGGCTGCATGAAGCGGGTGCTACGTGCACAGTATTTGCAATGGACGGCGCAGCGATGAACGGTCACGAGGAGGTCGTTGAATTTTTGCACTCGCACCGCACCGAGGGCGGCTCGATCGTCGCGGCTACGGCGGCCGTCGTGCATGGCCACGCGCGCATCGTGCGGTACCTTCTCGCAGAGCGCACTGAAGGAATCGATATGTCGCTCGACTTTGACGTGCCGCATCGCCACCACTTGACGCATCGCATCAAAGGAACGACGCACCTCGAGGCCGTCGACGTCGCCACCGAGAGCGCTGGTCCGTTGACGATCGCGGCGTTCGTTACCATGGTGGACACAATGGGCCTTGCTGCGCTGGAGCATTTTCAAGCGCGCGGGTTCGTACAGCAGACACCGCATGCGTTGCTGCAGCTGGCCGTCGCCAAGCAAGACCACGCAATGCTGCGTCATGTCCTTCAGTGTGTATCGCAAGAGCATGCGCGAGGCCCCAGCGACCACGACGAGTGGCTCCCGCCAGACGCACCGCTCCAAATGCGCCGGATTCGACATGACGACCCCCGTCCTCGTTGGGGCGGTCGGTGGGTCGACTCGAATGTGATGGAACTCGCGGCGTTCAACGGTGATATGACCTCGCTGAAGCTCTTGCACGAGAGCCGGCTCCGCGTCGGGTCGGATCGCGCCATCGTCTACGCGGCGTACCGCGGGCATCTTGGCGTGCTGGATTGGCTGCACACGCACCGGCGGGATGGCTGCGGCAAAGACGCCATGGCGCTTGCCGCTGTTGCCGGGCATTTGGACGTTGTGCGCTGGCTCCATGAAGTCGTTGGTCGGTGCCGGACCCAAGCCGCACTCGCTACAGCAGCGTACGTGGGAGATACCGCCATGGTGACGTACCTACTGGATGTTCCCACGAGCGATGCCGACGACCCGGTCGACGAGCCTTCCCGGACCTCAGCGGCGCTGCCACGGGTTGACGGCCGCAGGAACGCGTCCGTGGGTTACGTCACGGGGCCGGCGGCGCACTGGGCGGCCAGTCAAGGCCACCTCGAGATCCTTGAGCTCCTTGTCGCTCGCGGTCACACGGTGCCACCCCAAGCGATCGACGACGCCGTGGCCAACGGTCATATTCACGTCGTGCGCCACCTCCGCGAACGCTACGGGTCCTCGTGCAAGCACCGCCCGATCTTGGATGCGGTTTGGAACTGCAGCATCGACACCGTCACGTACGTGCTCGTGACTCGTTGCTGGTCACTTGACGCCTTTGCGTCCGCCCATAACGACGACGCCGATGGCATTTACCTGCATATGCTGCTCGTGACAACTGCTCGAAGCGGCCGCGTCGACCTCTTGCAGTTGGTGTACGATGCATTCGCCGACGATCTGCGCACGCGGCTGCCGGCGCGCGTGTCGGAGCGCATGATGATCCGCGCGGCGTCACACGGGCATCTCGACATGCTTCGGCATCTGCACGACGTCCTTAACGTTGGCTGGACGTCGGTCGTTGAGGAGGCTGCGCTGCGCCATGGCCGCAAGAAGGTTCCGCCTTTCTTGCGATCGCTCGGACCCGCGGTTGCAACCGTGTACGACGACGACGCAACCCATTTGTGGCACGAAGACGCGGATTTGAGGATGACCATGATCCTGATCGACGGGCACTGGCGTATCAAGCCCCTGTAGTAGTCCAAATGGGCTAGACGCGCCGCATCAAACTAAAAAAATATCAACATGTATGTATCAATATATCGAAGTCGCACGACGGGATCGAAGGCCATGCTCGTGGTTGTCCAAACGATGGACCTACTCGATACTCTACACTCTTTTCTTGTTAACGAAAAGGGGACCATACGACGTTACTGGCCTAACGCTCACTGCGATCCTGCGGTCGACTTGCAAGGAATAGGCTAGGGCTCAACGGAGAGTCAAGTGATGCAGCCGGGGCGTCCAAGTGCTGTGCAATTGTCGTAGCTGGCGCTGAAATTCTGGTTCCGTCAGCTGGTAGTACCGTCATCAACGGAGCTTGGTGTTTGCAGCCAAAGATTCCGCATTGTGGCCTCCTATTGGCTACTCCCTAGTATGATTATTTATGACAAATGATCGGTTCTTAGGGGTTTTATAGGGCCCTTAAACATGAAAATGGCATCAAATATAAAAGGCTATGCGTATACCAAGGTTTCTGCTTGGTTTCGGGTGGCAATCTGATCTGCCAATCCCAGGTGGCAGCTCGACCAGCCGGCTCGACCGAATCTGATTTGCGTACGATTACACACGAGCTGCAGTCGTCCAACAGGCGCAAGACACGCTGTGAGTATCCGCAGCGGCTGCGCGTTCGATTCTCGCGCTGCTGCAAGGAAGAGCCGATGGCACCCAACCGTGCATAGCACGGAGCGAATTGGCGGCAACCCTATGCCGCTTTTCGAGTCCCTGCATCAACTCACCTTAGCGACTCAGTTATTGGTACTACGAGGTCTGGACGAGGCTGCGCTCAGATGCGATGCGAATGAAATCTGAACACGCAGACGAGCCACACGCTTCAACTGATCAAAGGCGAACCGAGGTTGGACCCACGGTAGCCGGCAAGCGACTTGTCGACGCTATTACTGCCATGGTCGTAGCGACACTGCCGCCCACCTCACAGATTATAAACACGGGGTCGAAATCAGATCTGGTGTTGGACATTGTGCGGTCGAGGTCCAATACCGTTTCCTTGTTGCCCACTTGTGCATGGACGTGTTCGTCGGTGGCATTTCTGTCTTTGCACTGGCAGTATGGTTGATGTAAAAGCTCGGTAACTATACTGGTAGAACCCAAGCTTGCTATCAAGGCCCTTCCTCTGGACGAGCAAGGTAGATGCGGTCGATCCACGCACCCAAGATGCGGCTGGTCGTTGCCATCTGTTTAAACTCAACATGTGGCAAAGGGCAACTCAGATTTCGCCGACGGCGTCGACGACGAGAGCGCCAACCTCACTTTACAATTTACACCGCCATGAAGGTCATTGTCGCTGTCGCTGCCCTTGCGGCCGTTGCCCACGCCAAGATCGCGAGCTCGGTCCTCCGCGAACTCGAAACCACGGGCTCGTCCTCGGTCATGGTGACCTTCAAGAAGGACGCAACCGAGTCGTTTGAGAACTACGAGTTGATCTCCAACTTGGCCGAGCGCCGTGAGAAGTTCGTCGCCGCCGCCACGATCGAGTCGACCAAGCGCGCGTCGGCGATTGCTGCGACGATTGGCGCCGGCGCCGAAGTCAAGAGCTACTGGATCGCGCCGGTCGTCTCGATCAAGAACGCCAACAAGGCCACGCTCGACAAGGTTGCTTCGCTCAACAACGTCGAGAAGGTCGAGTCGATCCGCAACATCAAGCTCACGTCGGTCATCAAGGGCAAGGAGAACTCGCCTGCTGACAACGGCCGCCCGACGGGCATCCAGTGGGGTGTCGACACGGTCGGTGCGCCCGCTATCTGGAAGTACACCAAGGGCAAGGGCGTTGTCATCGGTTCGATCGACACGGGTGTGCGTCACACGCACGAAGCCATCAAGTCCAAGTGGCGCTCGGACCGTGGTTGGTACGACCCGTACAACCAGACGGCGCTTCCTGAAGATCTCGGTGGCCACGGTACCCACACGATCGGTACGATGGTCGGTGACTATGGTATCGGTGTTGCCCCCGAGGCGCAGTTCATCTCGTGCCGCGGTCTCTACGAAGAGAGCGGCGACGACGAGTCGCTTTTGACGTGCGCGCAGTTTATGGTGTGCCCGACCAAGCCGGACGGCTCGGACCCGGACTGCACCAAGGGCGCGGACCTCGTCAACAACTCGTGGGGCGGTGACACCGACACGAGCCCGTGGTTCGCTGACGTCATTGACGCGTGGCACATGGCTGGCATCACGCCCATCTTTGCCAACGGCAACGAAGGCCCCGCTTGCGCGACGGCCGGCAACCCGGCCAGCTACCGCAACGTCATCGCGGTCGGCGCCGTTGGCTCGTACGACGACGAACCGAACGAGCTCGCATTCTTCTCGTCCAAGGGCCCGGCCCAGTACCAGGATGCCACTGGCAAGAAGCACACGATCGTCAAGCCTGATATCTCGGCGCCCGGCTTCTTTACGTACTCGGCCGTCAACGTCGGCGATGGTTTCTACGACTACTACGCCGGCACGTCGATGGCGGCGCCCCATGTCGCTGGTGTCGTTGCTTTGATCAAGTCGGCGCAGCACGGTCTTACGTACAACCAGATCTACCGGTACCTGACGACGACGACGGTCAAGGACGTCTTGACCGCCGAGCCTGCGAAGTGGGTCCTTCGCGACAAGAACCATACGACGTACCCCGGCGCGCCCAACTGCGGCGGTGTCTCGGACAAGGCGTGGCCCAACAACCGTTATGGCTACGGCCGCGTCAACGTCACCAACATCCTCGCGGGTGGCAAGCTCCCCAACCCCAGCGCGTGCTAAATCGCCATGTCTCGTTTAAAGTGTGACATACTCCAATATAAATGTGTTTTCCCAACAACTTGTATAACCAGCTATTTCATCAGAAATCAACACTATTTGCAAAAAATAAAGTGCAATATCGACTAGACAGACACATAGATTGCGTCGATCCACTGCCCGACGTGAGCGTACTGGCACCGTGCCAGCTGAACCTCGACACGGTTGGGCGCCACCTCGACGCACCACTCGCCTTGACGGAGACGACGGTGCGTACCATCGATCGTCCACTCTTGAGACGTCGCCGATGCGTCGCACGGCAAAAGCTGCAGCGACGTGCCGTGCGCGGTCCAGCACAGTGGCGCAGTCGTGTCACCCGTTTGAAGCAGCTGCGTGTGGGCGTCATACTCAAAGACTTCGTAAATGGTATCGAGAGCCCTGCGCGACGCCACGTCATGCCCGTCACGCGCGAGCACGCGGCGGTCCTTGGTCGTCAGTCGCACAAATATGGTCGCACGTGGCGACTGTAGCTCCGTCGTCACTGTCGATCGAAACCACTGGGTGAGCGCGAATGGCTCGCACGGCGCCAGCGTCACGCGTGGACCGGGCGTCTGGATGTCGACGCACGACCCTGGTAACAACACGGACGCAATGTGGTCATCTTCCAGTCGCCATTTCTGCGACCGCGCCGCATCGTTGCAGGGCTTCCATTGCACTACAACGTCGTGGATCACGTCGAGGCAGTGACCATGAAGATGCTCTGACTGAAGCACTTGACGGTGAGCGTCGTAATAAAATCGCTCGTGGGTTGTGTTGTGCACCGTGTCGGTGATGAGACAGTCGTCCCACGCTGCCAAAACCTGCTTCGTGTACGTCACCAACGCGATTGGCACCGGCGTTGCGTCGGGCAGCGCAACGCGAGCGAGGGCGACGACTGGAAACGGTGCCGACACCAGAGTCGCTGCGTCAAGGTGACGCATCATGTTGGTGACGCTCACGCGGCCGTAGCCATACCGGTTGTTGGGCCATGTCGTATCGGGCGTGCCACCGCAGTTGAAAGCGCCCGGCGCCGTCACGTTGCATGGCATGGCCCACGTCGTAGGCTCCGGTTGCAACGACGCGCGCTCGGTGGTTTCGGTGACGAGTTTGTAAATGTCGTCGTACGTGAGCGCCGGGTCGTGGCTCTTCAGGAGCGCGACGATGCCCGAGACATGCGGTGCGGCCATGCTTGTGCCTGCGAGCTGCCCGTAGCGGTGGTTGCCCGTGAACTTGGCGGACCGAATGAAAAAGCCGGGTGCAGCCACGACCGGCTTGATGAGCTTGGACACGACACCACGACGATCTTTATACGTGGCGGGGCCTTTGGCCGAAAAGTATGCGAGCTGCGACGGGTCGTTTGTGTGGGAGCCCACGGCGCCGACTGAAAGGACGTTGGGGTACCCGCCAGGGTTGCCAGCACTCGCACACGCTGGGCCCTTGTTGCCAATTGAAAAGACCGGCGTGATACCCGCCTTGTGCCACGCAGCAACTGCGCCTTCGAACCACGGGTGGAACGTCGCGCCGCCCCACGAGTTGTTGACGACATCGGCGCCTTGGCTGCAATCGGGGTGGTTGCCGTCGGAGTACGTTGGGCATAGCATGAATTGCGCGCACTCGAGCAGCGCCGCCGACGTCCCGCGGCCGTTCAAAAGTCCTTTGCACGCAATCCACTGCGCGCCGGGGGCAACGCCGATGCCGTGACGACCCACCATCGTGCCCGTCGTGTGCGTGCCATGGCCCGTATCGTCGCTTGGTAGACGCGTGCGGTTGTACGGGTCGTACCAGCCCCGGTGGCGGCGCCAGTTGCTTTTGAGCGCTTCGTGCGAATGGCGTACGCCCGTGTCGATCGAGCCGACGACGATACCGGATCCGTTGGTGATTGGCCACATGGCCGGCGCGCCAATCGTCGCCACACCCCACTCGACGTCCGTCGACGTCGTGTTGTCATCGACACCCGCCAGCACCGGATCGAGCTCGACCACCGAGATTGGTTCGATCGTAACGACGTCGGCGAGCAAGGCGAGCGCCGCGACGATCGATGCCGACGCGTTGTGCACGACAGCGCTGCAACTGATCCAAAAAGACTTACTAGTGTGGTCGTGCAGAAGCGCCAGCGCCGCCTTTTGCGACGCAATCGCGTGGTCACGCAGCGCTTCGAAGACGCGAGTCCGGTGGTCGCGGTGCGCCGGCGTCGATGCCACGCGGTCCAGTGCTGCTTGGTGACTCGTAAACGTCACAAAGATGTCCATGGTGTCGTACACGGCCAAGTGCCGGTGGACGCGTGGCGCGACTTTGGCCGTCGCGAGCGTCGATAGAAGCAGCACGTAGCTGAGCACGCCCGCGATATAGCACCGAGTCGGGCACAGCATGCTCCTTCTGAAATGCGAACGTCTATCCCAGGATCCGTGGGCCAGGCCAAGCGCCCATATGTCGTGTCATCGCTGCCATACGGCGAGGTCTCTTGGTGGTAAGCGGGTGGTCCAATGCGGCTCTTTGGATGGCTCGTGACCCGACGCCACGGTCGTCACACACTGTCAACTACGCTTCTACAGTGGCATTAATCGGAAATGGAGCTTGCAAGGCATTGCAGGATTTTGTAAATGACCAACGACAGCGAACATTCATTATTCCTTTTTTTGTTCGCTCTCGGCCCTCGAAACGGCTTGGGACATGGCTGTTTGAAAACCTACTAAAGTTTCGCGACGACCACAATCCGGCACAAGAAACCAGAGGCCAGCACCGGTACCGGAACGTCTTTTGCACGTCGACATACAATCTTATATCTGTGATCTTATCCGCAAGGATTTTTATGTACCTTGCTTGTCGCCCAGTTGTGTGGCTCCGCCCTCGTGATGCCTACCAAGTACTGGCGTCCGTGACGTTACTTCCTAGTAGTATGGTCCACCTCACTGGGTCGTCGCGACCAGTGTCACTCGTACTACAATTACTCGCTGCTACCGCGTGCCTCCAAATTACTAGTCCTAGAGCCTTCCAGGTACTAGATCTTAATAAATTCAGCTGTGCTGTGTCCACGCTGTCCACGATTGCTCCGAGGTTCAATTTTGTTTCTTCTTGCGATGTCCACCACACTGGCTCTCTCAACGTCACTTAATAGTGTGTTCGGGCGTCCTCACTCGCCCCACGAGGGTCGTGTTATTTCCTAGCGGTCCAAGCTTGCACCAACAATGAAACGCTGTACAATGCCAGAAATATTCACATCGAAAGATCGAGCGCAACACGTATTGAATTAAATAGGCCGAGCTCGCAAGCACGATGCGATCAACCAACTCGAGGCATACACTATTTAACTGCGCAACACATGCGACAACCAATGGAATGTCGGTGTCGGAATGTCGGTCCTGTGCGACTATGACGATCTTGGCAAAAGTGCCAGCCGCACATTTGCATCATTTTCTTATTTCCCAGCACAATGACAGCGCACTTGGCCAAACTCGACAGCATTCTCGACAACTGCGCGATCGACCAGCAGCACCCGTCGCCAGTGGACCCCACGCACGAGCGTAGCATCGCGTGCCTCTTTACGGTCCTCGAAGACCCAACGTTCTTCGACAAGCTCCATTGGACGTCGGCGCTCAAGAAGGCGGAGACGCGCGTTCTCGTGCGCCTCGACAAAGGCTGCCTCACGTACCTTCCGCCCAGCGCCGCGTCGCCGCAGTACCTCCCGACAATGCACACGTGCTTTGTACGGCACGGGAAGCGCCAAGTGCAGCTTGTCGCGCGCGGTAGCGACGTCATCAAGACATTTGCTTTTGCGAGTCCGCTTCAAGCCACAGAGTTTTGCGGCGCCGTGCACTTGCTGCAGCACTTGGACCATTTGCGCCAGCCGCGGTACCTCCCAAAGGACTCGGATCCTGAGCTCTACAAGCAGCTTCACTACACACTGGAGTTTGCCACCGACATGTGGACGCAGGCACTCTGGCAGCAGCTTTGGCCGTACTCGCGCCTCCTCGAACTGCTGGCGTCCGGCCTCTCGCTGCTGCGCAAGAGCCAGCCAACGCCGTCGCGGAGTGTCCTCAAGCAGCTCTTGGCGATCTTGGACGAAGTGCACGACGACTTTTTCCCGCACGCATCGCTCCGCACCATGTCGACGGACGAGACGCGCGCAATGTTGGACGACGTCAAGTGCTATCGAGCGTCGTACGTTGCGCTTCTCGTCGGCAAGATCCAAGCGCTCACGATTCACGTTGAATTGTACCTGCATCCCGTTGCCTAGATCGCTAATTTATGATTTTTGCTTTTTCGTCCGACCTGCCAGCATACAAGTAGTCGAGTCGCATCGTTGCAGCAGGCGACAAGGGTCGGCAGTGGTGGCCATCTGCTATGCTTTTGATTAGGCCTCAGATACAGCCTTTGTGATGTACGTCATTAGCCCAAACGAGCTCTTGGCTTGCATACAGTATTGGCTCGCGTATCATTCAACAATACAGACAACAGTTCGTTTCCTCGTTGCTACAATATTGTACTGTGATGAGAAACTCGGGGGTTTTGAGCATGGGTTTTGAGAGCACAATGTGGGCCAAAAATGAGTGCCACCGGAGAATACATAGCTTTTGTTGTTGCAACACGGTTGGTATGAATTATGAACTGAAGTGAGAGGGCAAGATCACCGTGCGAGAAGACATGGCATGGTGGTGGATTATGCAGAGTTATCAACGTCACACTGGCAATCAAAATGAAACGATTGGCCGCAAAAGGCGTAGTTAGCACGCGCTCGGGTTGGGGAACTTGCCGCCACCGAGGATGTTGGTGACGTTAACGCGACCGTAGCCATAACGGTTGTTGGGCCACGCCTTGTCCGAGACACCGCCGCAGTTGGGCGCGCCCGGGAGCGTGCGGTTGCGCGTGAGGATCCACGTCTGCGGCTCGGGCTGCAAGATGTCCTTGACCGTCGTCGTCGTCAGGTACCGGTAGATCTGGTTGTAAGTGAGGCCCTTCTGCGCCGACTTGAGGAGGGCGACGACACCAGCGACATGCGGCGTCGCCATCGACGTGCCGGCGTAGTACTCATAGTAGGCGTCGTTGACGTTGAGGCTCGAGTAGGTGAAGAAGCCGGGCGCCGACACATCGGGCTTGACGATCGTGTGCACGTTGCCGTTCCAGTCTTTGTACTGGGCCGGGCCCTTGGACGAAAAGTACGCGAGCTGGTTGGGCTCGTCCGTGTACGAGCCGACGGCGCCGACCGAAATGACGTTGTTGTACGTCGCCGGGTTGCCCGCCGTCGCGCAGGCCGGACCTTCGTTGCCGTTGGCAAAGAGCGGCGTGACACCGGCCATGTGCCACGAGTCAATGACGTCGGCAAACCACGTGTCCGTGCTCGCGTCACCGCCCCACGAGTTGTTGACGAGGTCCGCGCCCTTGGTGCAGTCCGGGTCCGAGCCGTCCGGCTTGGTCGGGCACACCATAAACTGCGCGCACGTCAGAAGCGAGAGGTCGTCGCCGCTGTCAATGTACAAGCCACGGCACGAGATGAACTGAGCGCCGGGGGCAACACCGATACCGTAGTCACCGACCATCGTACCGATCGTGTGGGTACCGTGGCCACCGAGATCTTCGGGGAGCGCCGTCTTGTTGTACGGGTCGTACCAACCACGGTCCGAGCGCCACTTGGACTTGATGGCTTCGTGCGTGTGACGGACACCCGTGTCGATCGAGCCGACGACGACGCCCTTGCCGTCAAAGTACTTCCAGATCGCGGGCGCACCGACCGTGTCGACACCCCACTGGACGCCGTTGGGACGCGAGTGGTCGGCCGGCGAGTTTTCCTTGCCCTTGATGACCGGCGTGAGCTTGATGCTGCGAACCGTGTCGACCTTGAGCACGTTGGGGAGCTTGGAGATGGCGTCGACAGTCGCCTGGTCGACGTTCTTGACCGACGCCACAGGCGCAATCCAGAAGCTCTCAATGTCGACCTTGGTGCCAATGGCCTCACGGAGCGACGACGTGCGCTTGACGGCCTCGGCCGACGTCGCAGCGATGTACTTTTCACGGCGTTCGGCCACGTTGGTGATGGCTTCGTACGTCGCAAGCGACTCGGTAGCTTCCTTCTTGAAGGTGACGATGACCGACGTCGTGCCGTCCACTTCGAGTTCGCGGAGGACCGCGCTCGTGACCTTGGCGTGGGCGGCGGCCGCAAGGGCAGCGAGGGCAAAGATGACCTTCATGGTATTTGCTGTTGATACAAGTGAAATTGTAAAATGAATCGATCGAGGGCGACGCCGTGCGATCTGAGTCAGCCGAAAACATGTGTTCGCATGGGTGGAACCGTCGACCACTACCAACAGATGCGACCACGTGCTACGTCAAATCTAATCTTGCTGCAGATACAAGACGCTTGGTTTGGTCGTCGCATCGAATAGGCTTGCGTAGTGAGTGTGGGATCCATGCAGCCAACCAGAGCTCGAGACTCACGCGCTGCAGATGCACACGCAAAGAGACGCGATACCAGAAGAGGTGGACGTGCCTTCCAGATCTGAGTTGGACCAGACCATCTAATCGGTTCGTGCAGAAACAAACGAGCGGGCGACAATGCGGCGTAGCGTGAACATCAGCCGTGCCTGGCATGTTTTAAACTGTTTTAAACTATATGTGACTTGTGTGCGCGACGCGCGAGGCGGTTCTTTTTTGCACTGAGAAAGACACCTACGCACCGCTCCAAGCACTGCCTTTGATTTGATGTCGGATGGATGGCTCGTATGCAGCTTTGATTACACGGTACGATGCGCGTGATGGACAATCTGTTTTAAACATGATGTTTTCGCACGGTCAGGTGAACATATGTGTGCCACTGTGGCCAGCCTGTCGACGCAAGCCTCCCACGCTTGAGGTCGATCGTCGAGACGCTTCCGATGACTGCTCAGTCCCTCTGCCGTGTTCCTCTGCAGCAGTGTACGCTATGGAGCTACGAATGACTGCCCGAATGTACTCAGGAAAAGCGTCTGATATCGACGCAAGCTGGTAAGCTGAGAAGCGCTACAGCGTGAGCCAGGCTGCCTCGAAGTCCGCTGCACCATCAACGCTCGACGCGCACCGTGCGTCGTAACTAGCGGTAGTCGTCGAGTTGGCGCGCACCCGCCTGCAGCTCCGACCCGCACAAGCTAGTAGCAACGGTGGCGTCCATGGGCGCTTGGCGCTTGGGTGATGTGGTAGCGTCTGGGAGAGCGCGATGTCGAGATACTCTTTCTCAGTCCCGCGCTGAGATACCCAACAATTGTACACCGGCAATCTGACGACGGGTCGAACCTTCTCGTTTCAAACAAACTGTTGCGTTCGTGAGCGTTCTTCTAGACTGCAACGACTCTTATGAATCACTACATTTCGGCGACGCTTGTCGTCACCGCTCTTGCTTGCATCGCGTCGACAAGGGTCTTGGGTGCTCTGGCGCTGGCAAGCGCAACCACATCGCTTGATACGACCAGCGTTGCGTCGGTGAGGAGATGCGACAGCAAGCGCCAGTGTCGGCGCTCAATGACGTCCGATAGCAAAGTCCCTATCGCTTGTCGGCTCACGCCGTGTGGGAGGCACGCAGCTATGCGAACATACACGTCAACGTTGCCTTGGTGCGCAGCGGCCGTGTAGATGGCATCGACGGCTGCCGCGTCATCGCTGAATTTGCTCGCCGACCACAGCTTTCCATGAAGCAAGAGGTACTCGACGACCAGCAGATGCCCCGCTGCGAGCGCCTTCAGGAGCGTTGGGAGACTATACGACCCGTCGCATTCGCTCCAAAGCGCCTTGACAACGTTGAGATGGCCGTGCTTGCACGCTTCATCGACCAAGTGCGCTGGCGAGACGCGCGGCGGCAGACGCTGTAGAATCTCGACATGGCCCGTCGCGGCAGCTGCGACTTGTGGCTCAACGTGAGCGACGATGATGGCAACGTCCCGCGTCTCGATGGGGTCGAGACACCATGTCGTCCAGGCAAACTCGAGTGGAAGCCTGCGTTGGCTCTCGCGCTGCATGCCGAGGAGGGCATCGACGACGTCACTATGGCCGTAGGCAGCCGCCGAACTAAGCGCAACGTCGACGTTCAAGTCCCGTAGCGTCTCGTAGAGCCACTGGACCGTGGCGAGATGACCGTTGGCGGCGGCGTAGACGATCGCGGAGGAAGTCCCGCAGTCGAGTCTTGCTGCATGCAAGAGCTGGAGCACGCCCAAGTGCCCACGAGCCGCAGCAATGTCTGTGGCGCGACATATACTCCATCCCGAGGGGGACCACGTGTGCGTGAGACTGGCACGCCGGACGCTACCCCACCACCTACAAAAAGACCGTCGTGCTATGTCATTAGGGTGCATGTACCGGGACGGGGCCGAGAGCCAATGGGCCGGCTTCTGGTGCAGTTGCAATAGCTGCTGCAACGCAAACCGCATCGCATCGACATCGCCGAGGTTCGCAATGTACTCGATCAGTCGACTTGTGAGCGCAACGACGCCGGCATTAAAGCAAAAGACGAGCGCCGCGACGCCACTGGTGCGGATCGCACCTTCGATCGCGACAGCGTCAATGGCGTCGGCATGGTACGTTGCCAAAAGCAGCTTGATGCATGCCAGTTGGGCCGTGCCCGGCACGTTGACATGCTGTACGCCGTAGTAGTCTTGCATATATGCCCTCGCGCAGTAGTTGTACGCATAGCGGCCCGACTCCAAGAGGAACCGAGCGATATGGATGTGACCATTGTGAACAGCCGCAGCGACAACGTTGCGCGACCCGTAGTAGCGACCTTTTGAGACCAGCAACTGCACGATGGCCAAGTGTCCATGGGCGGCAGCGCCATCGAGGGCCAAGCGCGTCCCGCCGCGGCGTGCTGGCAGGTCGAAGAGCCAGCGCAGAAGCGCCTCGTTGCCGTTCATAGCGGCCAAGTCGACCGTTTTCGTCGTCACGGGTAGCGTCATCTGCGTCGCAAGGTGCTGCACAATGTCGGTATGACCGCACGCGGCCGCGAGCTCGATGGTGGATCGCTGGAAACAGTGCGGGCGATGCACGCCCCAGAGGACGATGTGGCGCAAATGACCTTCAAGGATCGAGAGGTGCAGCGGGAGGCTCGCCATGGCATCTTTGTCGTACAGAAAGAGCGTTCCTGCCGTCAATGGCGCGTGGCGCTGAGGCGCGTTGCGCCGCAGGTACGGCGTCGCGAGAAACCGAGGCGGCACGTTGTGCAAGCAGAGCGGCCCACCGGGGTCCGCCACTGGCGCCAGCGTGATCGTCGCGCTAAGCCGCTCAAGCTCACCGATGCACCACGGGAGTCCGTGCTGGTACGCCATGAGCATCGGCCACAGCGCATCGTTGAGCAGCACCGTCGCCGCCATGGTGATGCAGATGCTAATGGCGCTGTCACATCCGGACGACACTCCACGACGCGGTGATTGGTTGATTCGAATGCTTTTGAACGAATGAAAGTGGCTCGGCGCGTGCTTTTTAGCCAATCCAAAGATATTCCAGTGCTCGGTTCAAGCGCGGGTGGGATTGAGCAGCTGCCTTCCTCATACCGCCATCTCGGCCGGCGCCATCGCCATGCTCCCTTGTGCTTCTTCCATCGTCGCAGGATCTGCGAGATTGCTTGCGAATTTTGAAATCCTCTTTCAATTGATATTCCAGTTGCAACTGGAATATCAAAGTTGCAACTGGAATATCAAAACAAAAGAGGTTTAACACGATTTGAGATTCAGTTTGGGAAACTCTCTGAGCACGCAGATCCTATAATATAAGATCTTATAATATAAGATCTGCGTGCTCAGAGAGTTTCCCAAACTAAAGATTGAGTATTGAGAACATGATTTGAGATTCAGTTTGGGAAACTCTCTGAGCACGCAGATCTTATATTATAAGATCTGCGTGCTCAGAGAGTTTCAATCTCAAATCGACCTTACACTTGCGACCAACGATGCTGCTCCCCACACGCCTCTCGAGACAACAAAAACTCAACATAAGCTACGTATGCATGGATTGAGGACTCACGTCAACGAGTTGAGGGAGGCAAATAAGAGGTGCTGGCGTGGGCGGCGCGACGCAGCTAGAGCACCGTGGCCGAGATGACACCAGCCGCGTTCGTCGTCGCACCCTTGGCGCTCTTCAAGTAGCACACGCCGCTGGCCCACGAGAACGCGCCGCACCCGGCCGTGTTGCGGCACAGCTCGCAGCAGCGCACGTACGTTGGCGACGCCGCAGTTCCAATGTTGTTGTCAATGTAGTCGACGTTGGTCTCCGGCGCCGAGCAGCGGTAGAGCGCGACGGCCGTGACACCCGGCAGCGACACTTGGCCATTGCTGCCGCTCTTGAGGTAGCACACGTTGTCCTTGAAGCTGTAGGCGTTGCAAGCGGCGACAGCGAGGCAGGCCGCGCAGCACTGGTTGATGGACGTCACTCCAACGTTACTCAAGTCCTGGCCCGTGTAGTCCGTGTTGGCGAGCGCGGGGCCACACGGCGAAGGCCCGCTAAGAGCCGCCGACTGCGCGCCGGGCTTGGCGATGGACGCGCCTTGGGCCGACTTGAGGTAGCACGTGCCGCCACTCTGGCTCGTCCAGACGTAGAGAACGCAGCCGGGGGTCGCGGCACAGTCGTTGCAGCAGTTAGCGGCCGTCGGCTGCGATGTTGATGCAATGTCGTTACCGGGGTAGTCGATGTTGCTCTGGTAGTTGGTGCAGGTCGTTGGCGTTGGCGTTGGTGTCGGTGTTGGCGTCGGTGTTGGCGTCGGTGTCGGTGTCGTGCCAAGAAACCCCGACTGTGCGCCCGGCTTGTTGGACGGCGCGCCTTGAGCCGACTTGAGGTAGCACGTGCCGCCGCTCTGGTTCGTCCAAACGTAGAGGATGCACCCGGGCGTGGCCGTGCAGTCCCCGCAGCAGTTGCTGGGGTTCGCTTGAGACGTCGACTTGATGTCGTTGCCAAAGTAGTCGATGTTGGGCTGCAAGTTGTTGCACGTACTAGGCACGAGGAACGCCGCCTGCGCACCCGGCTTGTTGGACGAGGTGCCCGCTGCGCTCTTGAGGTAGCACGTGCCACCGCTCTGGCTCGTCCAGACATAGAGGATGCACCCCGGGGTGGCCGCGCAGTCCCCGCAGCAATTGCTGGGGCTCGCTTGGGACGTCGACTTGATGTCGTTGCCAAAGTAGTCGGTGTTGGGCTGGATGGTGGAGCACGTCGCCGCGCCGACGACGCCGATGGAGGCCGCCGAGAGCGAGAGCAGAAGCGCTGCGTAGGTCCCGAAGCTGCGCATGACAAATCGGATTCAAAAGTGAGCCGCTCCGTGCAGCTCGTGCTGGAAACTGCTTGCGGTTTGTATCCACATACTAACCCAAAGAGAGGACCATATCTCGAAGCACCCAACGGTTGAGGGAGGCTGGGCTACGCGACTCCTGCTTCCCGGCCAGTCTTACCCTTGTACGTCATTCCAAGTTTGGTCACCGGCGGCTAAAATTTGACGCATGCAACCTTTGACATCTCGTCTGCTGAGCCGGGAACTCGGCTCAGGTCGCTCGTAGGGTCGTCTCAGCCTCGGGAAACCAAGACAAGAGATGTGAAGCGTACCACGTCGAAAGCGACGAAGCTCGAGATGGCTGCGTTGGATGACGCGGTCGCATCATAGCAGCTTGTCCGAGTACGCCATGAGCATCGACCACAGCGCATCGTTGAACAGCACCGTCGCCGCCATGCTGATGCAGAAGCTGATGGCGCTGTCATATCCGGACAACACTCCACGACGCGGTGATTGGTTGATTCAAATGCTTTTTGAACGAATGAAAGTGGCTCGGCGCGTGCTTTTTAGCCAATCCAAACATATTCCAGCGTTCGGTTTAAGCGCGGGTGGGATTGAGTGGCTACCTTCCTCATACCGCCATGAGCTGGCCCCAAAGCTACCGCTGTAGCAAGTGAA